TGACGATGGTTCGTCAAGTAAGGACCATGGGTGGTGAAGAGCTTTCTTCCACTTGGGGGTAGGGATCGTAGGTATATTCACTGCAGGACTTTGAGCGGACCGGACGGGTTTATGAGAAATAGAGCTGGGGCTATTAGGAAAAATCCCTTATATTACGGCTGTATGCTTGGCAATATTACTCTTCAACCATCCCTTGACCGTGGAAGGCTGGATCTTGTATGCACTACTAAACACCTAATCAATTCCGACCATTTACCCACAACAATATAGATTCAAGTCAACGGAGGAGGAATGAAGAAAGATGACCGTTTTAAACAAAATAACAACGTTACGCTCAAAACCTACATGACCATTACCCATATACTATTGATATCAGAGGGAGATATCGTTTTCAAAGAGAAATAAACGCTTAGTCGATTCCGTCCCGTCCAATCCCTCATGTCTAGCTCCTCAGCATCAATTCATCCGTCACTTCCTCCCTTCCACCATAATGATATGGTATCCAAATCCCGTTTTGACTTCCGCCCACTTTGGGTTCGCGGTTGTGCTGGTTTCTAGCTCGTATGCAACCTTTTCAAAGTCACCATGAAGGCTTCCTCGAACTTTCCAGCCAAGCGATCCGCCTATTTCGCAACGTTAGAAGAGGACAAATGTACTCTTGCTCTTTTTCTTTCCTGTCTCTAAAACTCCCACATATGTATTCGGCTTCAATGTTCAATGGTGATGGATATGAATGAAACGGAACAAAGGATAGGGATACGGGGAATGTGTATCAACTCCAGATTCTTTCTCAAAATCCGGAGCCGTCTCCCTCTTCTCGAGCATGCGCCAACGACATGGCACAGTGAGGCGAGATTAAAATTGTGGAATGCGAGGGTATCCCCAACAAATTCGTAGATCCAGAGGACAAATCCTCGCAAGGTATCATGGGGGAGTATATTATGTGATATATTGAGGGCATGAAGCGCGAAGTAAAAGTAACTGATCCGGATCTTTGCAAATGTAAATGGGAGACAACAGATGGTGAAATTGGCACAAACCTTGTCTAGCCTTATCCTCCGAAAACTCTCTTGCGACATCATCGAATTTTGCCCCATTTCTCAGCTTCTCGGCAGCTTCCTCCTTTTTTGAGTGCTTCTCGCACTTTTTCCACGAACACAAACAGCTGGTTAGCAAGCGTGTATGGTGTTGATAAATGTTAAAAGTAGAGACATTTCGAAAGTTGAACAACGACATTCAATACATTCTGTCGTAATAAACAGACAACGGGCTGGAGAGGGGAGGAGAGATTATTTTGAATTGAATATTTCTCATCCAGGGCTGTTCATGTGCATTGGGATAGTGACCCATATGGATACAGATCATTGGTACGCAAACATAAATGTAAAACAGAACGGTCTTGACTCTTGAAATATAACAAAATTATAAAAACCACTTAGGATGATAAGCCAAACAATTCAAGTATTTCACACAACACTCGAAACTAACAGACGTAAGAGGTTCTGACAGATACTTACAAGAATATGTCGAACATTGATAGAATTTGCAGGTTTTAACCCTTTGCCTTTACCTCCCTCATTGCCATCACCGTTGTCCTTCGCCTTGCCTTTGCCTTTTCCTTTGGCGCCCGAGTCTTTGGCATTGCCCTTCGCCATACTTCTAACAACCTTGGAAAGGTGAAGAAAGCCTATTTGGGTGGACGATCGGTTATACGCGTGTGTACCACCAGTTGGCGTGCGATATTCGAGATATTACGGTTTGAAATATGCAGGCGTGTATTAGCTTGACAGAATTAAAATTGCCTAAGTGACATAGGGGCTGTGATGTCAAGCTCGAATATGAAAGGGAGATGAGGGTATTATTTACAAGCCTCAACGGTGACATGAGGTGGGGTTGGAATATCGCACGCTTATTGGCTGGTGGTTTAAAGCTAGATTTTTATATCAACTTCAATATCAACAACTTCAATTCATGCTTCCACCATGCATACAAGCATCAAACGCTCGCTTACGCTCGCTTTGCTGCTTGCGCAGCCCCCCCTACCCCTACCCCCCTTACTAGTTCGACACATACCAAGGGATGGAACGGAGACCTGGCTAAGTTGGTGTTA